CCCCCGCCCCCCCAGGACCCACCGAGGCTGCAGGAGGAGCGATGGGGAGGACCTGCCCAGAGCTGGGCTCCATTGAGCTTCAAACCGCGGTGGGGGTCCCGGCTGGCTTTGGGGAGACCGTGGGGGCCACGTGCCGGTCAGCAAGGCCGGGTAGGAGGGGGTGGCAGGGGGAAGGGGGGGACCAGCTCTGCTCAGCATCCACAGGGCTTGGGCCCGTTGTCACCCCTCCACTCACCTCGCCCTGCGTCAGCCCCCTCTGAGCCCCCCAGCTCTGCTCAGCATCCACAGGGCTTGGGCCCGTTGTCACCCCTCCACTCACCTCGCCCTGCGTCAGCCCCCTCTGAGCCCCTCTGCCCGCCTGGGCACCCTTTGCCTGTTTTTTATTTCTTTCACCCTAAAACAGCGGTGCCGGCAGAGGGCATCCGCAGAGCAGGGCACAGCCAGGACTCACCCTGGCCATGGCTGCCCAGTGTCCCCCCTTCTCCCCCAGGGGACATTTGGGGCTGTGCGGGACCCTGCAGGCACCCAGAGTGGCCCCATGCCACCTCCAAGGGTGGGGGACGCCCAGCAGTGCCCATCTGTGGGGTGAGGGGGACGCTCACCAGGCGAGGGACAGACGGACAGATGGTGGGTGATGGCAGCCCATGCTCACACCCACCATGCCCGACAGGTCCATCCCCTGCCCGGTGGTATGGGGTCCGTCCCTGTGGGCAGAGGGGATGGGGACAGCGGGAGGGCAGGGGATGGGGGGTGCCCGACAGGGGAAGCTGGCAGCCAGCGCTGATGGCAGTGGGGTGGCTCCCGGCAGCCATCACTCTCACCTGTGTCTTCTCTTCTTCCGTGACCCCGACTCAGACCTGAGGGATGAAGAGGAAGCGAAGATGAAGGAGACAAGCTGAGCCGGCCAGCAGGGACCAAAGGCCGGGCAACCCCAGGGGATGGGGACAAGGGCAAGGGGGTGGCCCTGAGATGGGCTGCTGGATGGGGCAGGTGACAGCTGCTGTGAGGAGGTGATGGCCCCATGAAGAGCCATCAGCATCCACCCCTGTCCATGCCTCCATCCTGCCCCAGCCCAAGGGCCTGGGCAGCTGCCAACCAGCCCTGCTGTCCCCAAGCAGCCCCACCGCCCCCAGGCAGCCCCACCGTCCCCAGCCCGACGTGGTGTCCATCCTACCTGTCGCGTCTGTGTTTCTTTCCAGTCTTCTTTTTCTTCTCCTTGCGGATGGGTGAAGAGCTGTCGCAGCTGGGGGGGGTGGAAAAAAAAGTGGGTGCCCTTGAGGGGGGAGCGAGGGACCTCCCAGCCTCATCCCTGTGGCCCAGGGAAGCCCCCTCCTGCCGCCCCCCAGCACCCTGCTTCCCCTGGGCCACCCACGGGTTGCATGAACATCGCATGGCAATTATTTCCTGGGGGGATTTGGGGTGGGGGATAGAAAGAGCCTTTTGGCAGAAGGGCTCTGGCTGCCTTTGGTGCCAGAGTGCCCGAATCCTACTGTGTCCCATTGCCACCTCGTGGGCTCCGCAGCCTCCAGCAGGAGACGGAGTGGCCAACTCCTGCTGGGATTTCAGAGGGGGACAGTGGGTGGCAAAGGCCAGCCCGTGCCCGGTGGCCTTGCATGCCTGGCAGGGACCCCACAGCCCACCCAGACCGACGGGCACTCACCTGCGCTCCGAGCCAGGTTTTCTCTTTTTGCTGCCGTGGGGAAGGCAGAGAAGAAAGGGACATTAGGGACAGCGTCTGCCCAGCCAGCCAGCACTAACCGGGGAGGGGACCAGCGGGTAGACGGGGCTAGACCCTTCAGGAGCCAAATCCTGCCTGGTGCTGTGCCCTGCAGCAGCCGGCTCCTTCCCAGCACGGACAGGGCGAGGTCCCACCAGTGTGTGCAGTTGGGTGGGCTGGCGGTGTCCCACGGCGCTGTGCATGTGTGCACACGCGTGTGTGTGTTGCACCGCCGGTGCGTGCAGATGCATTGCACCTCTTGAGGGTGCATGTTTGGGGGTGTGCTGCCCCCCAAAGTGGGGAGACTTGCCCCACCGGATCCTGGGGAAGGGGTGAGCCTCCCAGGAGAGGGGACAGAGCAGGGACAGCCAGGGACTCACCGGCTCCGGCGGTGACCCGATTTCTTTTTCTTTTTCTTCTTGGGCGGAGGAGAGGTGGAGCTGCTCGAGCGTCTTTTCAGCCTGCAAGGAGAAGGCAGACAGGGTCGGGGGGAGAAGGGATGGCCGCCCAGGGCTCTCCTGGCCTCTGTGTCCCCCAGTGGGGAGCTGGCAGGCAGGGAGATATCCCTGCCTGTGCACACCCGCTTCCCAAAATCCCTGCTGCGGTTCCGGCTGGACCTGTACTCGTGGTGGCCGCTGTCCTCACGGTAGCACTCGGCCGAGCAGTCGCACTGCAGCAGGCAGCCCTCACCATAGTCGGGGTACTCCACCACGTACTCCTCCCCGTCTGTCCCGTGATGGTTCTCTATCACGCTGTCGAAGGAGGAAGCGCAGGATTAATTCGGGGCTCCCCGTTCCCCATTTCCCACTGGAGCGGCGGGGGGGAAGCCTGGGGTAGCCCCGGTGTGGCTGCAGGAGCTGGGGGACATCCCCTCTGCCACAGTGTCCCCAGGGGACCTTGGTCACATCACTTGAGGTCCACATGCAGCAAACCCCCATGGTGTCACCATATGGTGGGGGTCTTCTCGGGGTCTTCTTGGGGCTCCTGTCCCTGCAGTAAATCCCCACCAGGCTGGCACAGGGACACCATGGGGCTCGGGCCACTATATCCCCGCAGGGTCCAGCCCTGGCATCATTTGTAGCCCCTTTTGGCACTGTCCAAGTGCCGGGGCTGAGCTGGGGGCTGAGGTCAGCCCAGGTAGGTGGCAGGGCCAGATTAGAGCGAGAGGAGCTGGCAGGAGGCTCAGATTCGGGGGATTATCCACCTGCTGGCAGGAGCTGCCCGGGATGATCCGGGCTTTGAGGCCAGTGCCCCAGCATGCCACCGGCTCAGCACCGGAGCTTCAGGCAGGTGATGGGTGATGTGCCCCCTGAGCCAGCCGAGATGGGGTGGAGGGACATCAGGCCTGAAGGCACCGCAGTCTCCTCTCCCTCCTGAGTGACTTCGTCAGCACTAATTTTTCCCACTGCCATGGAAACCGGCAGGAGGTTGCCATTGACTACCGGGGCTGCGGGCAGGGCTTGGCAGAGGCCTGGCAGCTGGACCCAGGAGTCCCCTGCCCAGCCTCTCCCTGCCATCCCCCACCTCCCCAGTCCTCCTCTGCCATCAGCCCCAGCAGCAGCATCAAACCCCCCTGGGATCCTCTCGTTTGTTCTTGGGGGATGTAGGACATCTCACCCCGGGAGGGATGCGGCCACCCAGATGCTCTGGAGGGAACTGTAACAGGTGGGGCCGTGGCTGGAGGGTGCCCGGCATCACACCGGCCTGGGCACTGCTTCCCAAGGGACATTTGCCCTCAAAAACCCGATGTGGGCTCCTCCACCCTTCCCAGCCCGGAGGCGTGCGGCCGGGGATGCCGGTGGAGAAGCGCAGCCCCCACGGCACCGGTCCCTTGGCAACCCTGCCAGCGCCTCCGGCCAAGCGAAGGGATGCTCCCAGCCCCAGACAGCAGATCCAAGAGCTGCACGTGTTGACATCCCTGGCCGCAGGCAGGCCCTGGGCTGTTTAACCCAATGAAAAATGGTTTGGACCAAAACTAGAAGCGAGGCATCCTCCTCCTGACCACGGATGATCGCTCAAGCGGCTCTTGGGCTCCCTTCTGCACCGCAGCCATGGCTTTCTGGGTCCTCTCCAAGCGACTCCGGCCTTGGCCATGCCCTAAGGGCAGGAACAGCCTTTAAACCACCCACCCAACCATGGGAAGGGGACAAAAAGAGGAAAAGAGAGGAGCGAGTAGGGATAATTCCCTGTTGGACTCTCTGCTCTGTGAGCAGGCAGTGCTCCACGCCAGAGCCGGCTGCCAGCATCTCACCCATTAGCTGTGCTCAGCGGCTCAAGACGGGCTTGTGCTGCCCCAATTATCCCTCCCCGCCCGACACATACTCTCATTTGTTTTCAATCCCACCAGCCTGTCCGTCAAGCAGTTACTCCTTGGGGATCGGGCTGTATCGCCAGGCTGTGCACGCACAGAGATGGGAGCTGGAAGAGCGCAGAGAGCAAGGCAGGGACTCAGGTGGTCACGGCTCTGCTCAGTGCCTCAGTTTCCCCTGGGGAGTTTTGCAGATGATGCTGAGCTTTCGCATCTGCTTTGAAACAAGAGCAGCTGGTTCAGACTCACAGTCCCAGCAGCCAAAGACTGAGCTGTAAAAGTCCAGAGAGGTGCTTGGAGCAGGACCAGCCCATGAGATGTTTCTCTGAGTACTCTCCCAGCCACCGCAAGGGCTGGGGCTCTTTATTTAAAGTTTATTTAACTCCCTTGTCCAGCCTCTTCAACCAGCGCAGACCTTTTACACCCAGGACATCCTCTGGCAGGGACTTCGGCAGCTCAGGTCCCCGCTGCTTGAAAAGCCACCTCCTTTGGACCCAGCTCCTACCAGCCTCCTCCAAGCGCCTCTGGCTTTGCTCTCCTCTGAGCAATCCTTTGCTTTGAGACTGCTCCTTCCAGCTCAGCACTATTATTTATAGCCCCTGGGCTAATCTTTAATAATTACCCTTCATTTTGCAAAAGCAAGCCTGCAAAGGTGACAGCTAGGGCTGCTTGGGTAACCTCGGCTTCCCTATGTGTTCCTTACAGCACCAGCCCTAATGAGCCTGCCCGGGAAGATGCCCTGGAGATGACTCATGCCCCCATGGGCAAAGGCCACTTGTTAACAGGAGGACTTGATGCTCGGCCACCCGGGGGACCTGGACAGGTTGGATTTCCCCATGCCTTGGTTTTTCCTGCCTGGAGGAGGACCCTGGATGCTTCAGGCTGCCCCAGGGCCATGTGCCCCATCCCGGGCTGGGCACAGCCAAGCCGTGTCCCTCCCTGCCCGGCATGCCAGCAGAGCGCTGGGAGGAAGGCTCTCCCCGCCTTGCGGCTTCCCTGCCTCCCCCCTCGCCCTGATTTCCTGACCCTAATGAAGCATTAATATTCAGTGAACCTGCAGCATCTATTCCTGTCCCAAGTGACCTGGTTTCCAGGCTGATGGATGGTGCGCGCCGGGCCAGCCACGCTGCCTGGGCCATTAAGCGTCACACATCATCGAGCCAGGGCGGACCCTCGCGAGGCTGGGGACAGTCCTGTGTGGGGCAGGAGGAGCGAGTGGCACGTCCCCAGCAGGAGCTGGGCTGCTTTGGATACCTAGCCTGAGCCCCAAGCCCCCCTGGGGCAGATGCAGCCCCCAGGGACCAGGCAGCATGAGGAGCAATTAGGAGACAGAGGCACAGGGCAGGAGCTCCTTGGAGAAACTTCTTCCATGGGGCTCCTTGGAAGCCTGATGGAGACGCAAGCTCTGGGTCTACCCAGGTGAAAAGCAAGCTCGAGCCCTGCTCATCCAGCCTGGGCCCCTTGCAACACAACTTATTATTACTATAATTAACGGTTGTTATTGCTAACACAAATATCACCAGGGTTACAGAACAGCAGCCAACCTCCCAAACCATCTCCAGCCAAGCTGAGTTACCCCAGCTTCACATCTGGAGACAGAAGGACTATTCTGCACTATGGAGTTAAGAGCGAGGACTGGAGATCGGTGCCCTTGCCTGGCTGGAAGCAGAAGCTGCAATTTCAGCCCCGGTGAGAGCAGGAGAGGTGACCCAAAGAGGCAGGAGTGGGCAGAGTTGAGGCACAGCAAACCTGCAGCTTGGTCTCTGCCACTGCCTGGTGGGGTGAGCCAAGCATCGAGACCTTCTGTGCTTCAGTTTTATCATCTGTGGCAGAAGAATTGCAACGCTGGCCTCTCTATACAGCACTCTGAGGTCTCCAAAAGACCAGTGCAGGATAACCTCTAACCTCCCCAGAGGTAGGATCCTGCTACAGAGAGGCAAACCCTGTCTCCAACCAACCAACCGACCAACCAACCAACCAATCATCCAACCAACCAACCAACTAACCATCAATCAACCAATCATCCAGCCAAACAACCAATGATCCAAACAACCATCCATCCCTCTAACCCTATATACCCTCTCTATGTCCATCCATCTATCCAACCATCCCTATATATACACACCCTCTCTGTATCAATCCACCCATCCATCCACCCGCCCACCCATCCGTCAATACTCGGAGGCAATCTGAGCTGTGCCTCTCTGGGATGAGGGACAGACGGGATGCACAGACGGGCCAGCTCGGAGCTGCCTCACTTACATTTGGCGCCCGTGCTGGTCCTCTCTGGTGAGCACGCCTTCCTTCTCCATCAGCATTTGCCGAAAGGTCCCCACTTTCTGCCGGATCTCCTCTTCGGAGTACCTGGATGGGCAAAGACGCAGTCAGGGATGCCGTGGCTGGAGCGTGGGCTCCCCAGGGACCTGCTGAGGACCTCCATACCTTTGGGAGTGACACGTGGCCTGAGAGGCTGGACAGAAGGAGAGGTGGCATGGTGATGGTCATCAGGGCCTGGAGGAGAGCAGGTCCCTCCGCTTGGTCCCCTGCCCTCCATGCATCACCCTCCATGCCCTCCTCTCTCCTACCTGCCCCTCCCAGCAGTGCTTGGCAGAGGAATGGACATCAGGAAGGGGTACAAGAAGAGGATGACCAGGAGGTTGCCATTCCCCCCCCCCACTGCCTCAGATTTTGGAGCACATCTCCACTGAACCCCCTCGGCAGTGCCAGTATCGCAGCCGTCAAGGCCGGGGTTCGCGCCGGGCGCCTCTGTCCCATCGTGAGCCTCCCTCGCTCGTCCCCATGCTGCAGCGGGGCCCCGGCAGCCAAGCCAGCTCTGCGCTAACGCCTAACGCTGACTCAGGCCGCTGCAGGGTTATTAACGAGAGACACTAATCACTTTGTCCCTGGCATCTGAGAACAGCCGCGGCAAACCACGGCGCTCCAGCCGTCCCCGAGGTGTCCCCAGGGAGGGACAGGTGACAGCCCTGGGTGGGCGGTCCTGTGCCGCATCCCGTGGCTGCACAAGGGGACCTGAGCATCCCCCTCAACCAAAAACATCTAAATGGAGGGATGCGGTAGAGGGACCTGTGGTGCTCTTGGCACCGTTGTCCCCGGGGACAGGGCAAAGGGAGAAGGGCCCTATGTCACCACCACCCTGCTGCTCCAGGAGGGAAGGGGACGGGCTCCGTGTGTGTCCCTGTCCTCAACCGCACCATCTACAGGGGCTGCTTGCGGCCCATCCTCGCCGTCACATCCCATCAGCATTGCTGCTAACAAGCGCAGAAAACTGGATGTCACAGCCTGGCCGAGCCCCGCGGTCCCCAAGGCTGGCACCTCGCAGAGCCTGTGCTGGGGACGGCGATGCCCTGCGCAGGACCGTGGGTGCCCCTGTGTGCCCTTGGGTGCCCCTGGGTGCTGAGGGGCATGCAGCAGCACCCGTATCCTCTGCGGTGCCCACGAAGAGGAGCAGCGAGAAAAGGGGAATTAATATTAACAAGGCTCTCATTAATTCCCCAGCCGTCCAGGACTCCCGCGCAGAAGGAGGGCAGCTAACCGGGCATGGAGGCAGCCCTGGCTGCTTCCCCTCGCCTTGTACCCTGCCTGGGCATGGGAGGGGGGGGCCACAAAAACAGGGCAGCACCCCCAGATGCTGCTCTGCACCATACCGGTGCAGCCAGCCGGGCAGAGTGTGGCCATCCCGCAAGGATGCCGGCCCCGGCCATCCCGTGGGCATCAGCCAGCCAGCGGCAGCAGGAAGATGTCCGCCCGAGAAGACAAGCATTTGCTGCAGCGTATTATGGATGCAGCTGATGCTCTTGGAGAGGGGACGCGAGGCCAAACAGGAGGTGACAGATGGGCCACCACGGCTGGGCCGTTAGCAAATCTGCGGGGGGCAAGGCCAAGGTGGGGAACCCCCCTGCACCCAGCGATCCTGTGATGGAGGCAGGAGCACCCCACCAGCCCCTTCCCTCCTGCACCCCCCGGCGCTGCTTTTAACCCCGTTGAAGGGATTTGGGGTTTGTATTTAACACATCGAATGGGTTTGGGAAAGAAAGAAAAATTGCTGATGCTTCTTTTCTGGACAAGAAATCCAGCCTGCAGGCAGGGAATAACGGCACAGGCAGCCCCGAGCAAGCAGCAGCCGGGTACAGCGCAGGCAGGAGGAGCCATCCGTGTTTAAGGAAACAAGGGATTGCTTAAATCCCCGCAAAACCTCCTCTGCTCTCACACCCGTTCATCCCAGGGGCCCTGCCCTGGCCAATAACTCCCCCGAGGCCGTGGCCGGGATGTGGCCCCTGACCCAGGCAGAAACCTCAGGGGTGCAAAGCGCTTCCCGTGCAACCCCCCCGGAGAGCCCTGTGCAGAGGGGAAGAGCAGGCGGAGGATTAACCAGGTTGACCAAGATTATTACTGTAATTATATTATCATTTTGGTGTATCACCGTCATCACCGTTATTAATAGCCTTAATAATAGCAAAGGCAATTATAGCAATAACAACAATACCGATTGCAATATTGCTATTACCCATCGCAGTAATAATACTACTAGTAGTAAGATCCCTAGTAGGGCACGGGAACCCAACAGGAGGCTCTGGGCTCCCCAAGGCGCCAGGTCAGCCTTATTTATTTCCGTAACGACAAATTAGGCACAATCATTATTCCAGTCTGTGTGAGACAATTTAATTCTAGGTCACGCTTGCGCTCTTAATGAAAGCCTTGGCGAAGCCTTCCCTCAATCCATTTTCCTTCTCCCCAGCTGATACCAGTCCCCGTCTACCCATGTGTGCCGAAGAATTTGCTCCATCCATCAGGTTTTAGCGAGCTGTCAGGGGGATCAGGCTGTTTGGCTGGTGCCAGAGCTATGGGGCAGCCGGCAGCACGGCCATGGGTTCGGCGGGGATGGGGGTGTCCTCACTGGCCCCCCAGCCCCTCCTGCCCACCCAGGCAGGGATGCTCTCCGGCCCCTCAGGCTTTCCCCCAGCCCTTTGCTTCCCCAGGGCAGAGCAAAGGCTACGGAGCAGCTCGTGGTGCACAGTCAGGGGCACGGCAGGATGGGGGGGATCCTCTCACCCCAAAACTGGGGGGAGAGAAGGAAGGCAGGACAAACTGAAGCACCAAAACAGCCTTGCCTGGGACTAAACCCCAGCTCTCCTTCATCTCCCCAACACGAGAGACAGAGAAGGACCATCTCCCATCCCAGGCACGCAGGGCACAGGCCAGGCAGTGCTAATGGCTGCCTCCTTCCTGCCTCCACTTTCCCAGCACGACGAGCTGGGAGCTCAGATTTCCAAGTGGAGGGGCCGGAGCAAGCCTCCAACGTGTGTGTGGATGCACCCTTAGGTCTGCGTTTCTTGGAGGCATTTAGCTTCACAAACCAACCCACCAGTCCACCCCAAACCTGTCCAATACACCCAAAAGTGGATTTACTTCCAACTGGGGACATTTGCCACATTAAGGTATTTTTTTAGGGAGGAAAAAGGGAAAGAACAAGGTACAAGTGTGTCAAAAGGATCCCAAGCCACGGGGTCCATCTCCAGCCCAGCCCCGAGCCCCTGCTACTCACCCCTGCTCCTCCATCATCTCCTGCAGCTCCATGCATTTCAGCTCCACCCGCCGCTTGCGTTCGTGGTCCAGGATTTCCCGGTGAGCCTTCTTCACCAGGCTGGGTTCCACCAGCCGCACCTCCTCCTCGCCCTTGTGCCACGTACCCGAGGCGCCGGGCTGCGAGAAGCCGTTGGAGGCTTCCTGGGGCGAAGGCACGTCGGCCCCATTGTTGTAGAGAGCCATGCCGGCGTGGGCGGCTTCGCCGCCGGCAGCACCTGGGAGAGAGAGAAAGAGTTGGGGGTCAGTCCCTGCCCTGGCTTCCCTCTCACCCCGTGACAGCGAGGGGACCCCGCCAGGACCTGAAGGCAAAGTTTGTCTCAAAAGAGGTGCGGGCACACAGGTTGATGGGGACGGCGACTGAGAGATCTGGGTCTTCTGCCAGCTCCCTTCCTGCCCCTTGCCTCAGTTTCTCCACCTGCAAAGCAAGGCTGGGGCTATTTCCATCGCCATGCCGTGAGGGCTGGCTCATGGGAAAGAGGAGGATGCTCTGTGCCAGCCTCATACCGGGGAAAGCCTGGCAAAGCGGGGGTCTGTGGCACCTGGAGCCATACGGTAGCAGCGGGACAGGCGGGCAGGGGTCCCTCCGAGCCCCACGGAGCCTGCTGTCAGCTGGCACGGGTGCACAGCAGGGACAGGCATCCATCCTCACAGCCCTCTGGGGACACCCCCGGGCACTGTCCCCAGACAGCAAGGGGATGGATAATTTGGATAGCCCATTGCACGGGGACGCAGCCATGGGAGATCCCGATGTTCAGGCCAGCCAGCAAATGCCCACCGATGCCTTCCGGCAATGGCCTGGCACCCCCCAGCAATGGCCCAGCACCGGCTGTGAGGGGAGGTGAGGCTCCCCACCGGCTGCTTCCCCATCCAAGCAGCAGCGTCGAACTGCTGCCCGCCTGCCTTCTCTCTGCTCTTTCACCTTCACATGTCCCTGCCTCCTTCCTCAGCCACCACAGTCAACGTGTCCTCACTTGGCTCCAAAAATAACCCCATGGAAGAGGACAACCGTTCCTGAGCGGCACTACCGTGCCGAGGCTCCGGCTGATGCTCCCCGAGCCTGGGGGAGGACATGCTCCCAAATCTCCTGGATCAACCAGACAGACAACAACCCCGTCTCAGCAACCTCAGGCCATCGGCGCACGGCTGACTGCCTGTTCCTCTGTCTCCCCATCCTGTGATGCCCCAGCTCCCCTGCCCAAAGCACCGGCCCTCTCCCCAGCACGGGATGCTCCGGCTGGAGATCCACTGTCTTAATTATCCATGGCAGCCAGGCTGCAGAGGCACTGCCTGGGCTTTACCAGGGGCTCCCACAAATGCTTCCCCTGCAAAGTCCTACACAAATAGAAACGATCGGGAGCGAAGGCAGAGCACCCTCGCTCTCCAAGCTGGCTTTGGGTTCGGAGACGCAGCTTTTGTCAGCAGCTGCTTCTCTGGGGTGTTTCCATCCCAGGGACCGTGCCGGAGAGGCTTTTCCAAGGATAGGTGTTGCCTGCACATTGTTGCCTACATGGGAAGCAGCCAACCCCTGCCCGCGATGCCCGGGGTGTCCGACACATGCTGCCCAAGGAGGACGGGGCCAAACACTGGCCCGGGGAAGGAGGGATCCCTCAGCCGAGCGTGGGCGTGAAGGCACGACAGACGGACCACGGACTGATCCGCACCGTTTCGAGCCCAGGGAGGGCTCGCCGCTCCCGCTGTGCCATTCCAGTGGGGCACCAGGTGGTTCAGAGCTTTCCATGGCCGTGCCAGGTGGGGCAGAGCCAGAGCGGGAGCGCAGGTCGCCCACAAGAGGCTTCGAGGACATTTCTCTGCTGTTTGAGGAGAGAAAAAGCCTCAGAGCTCTCCCCGGGGTGGCGGGTGTCCCAGCCTGGAGGGAAGGCATCTCCCACCCCGCGGCATCTCCAAGGGACATCCCCGGCTTTCCCGCTGCCACTGGCTGCCCCACGCACTCATTTATCTCCTGACGAGCCTGCCCAGGGAGGACAGCAGCTGACTGCTTAATTACAAGGCTTTTTTTTTTTCCTTTTTTTTTTCCCCCATTATTACCATGCAGAGAGGAGCCAGAAGCCTTTATTTCCACAGAGGGACAGAGGAGTGGGCAGCGGGAGATGCTGCCAGTGGAGCAGGATCTGGCCGGGGCTCTGCACCCCCTGGAAGCTCGGCCCTGTTAGAGCAACCGGAGGGTCCCTCGGTCCCCCCTTGCCTGCAGCAGGCAGGGCAGCACCCACATTTTGAGCCCCATGACACCCCGCAGCAAGGAGCGGCCCCGCTCAGCCCTCCCTGCCCCGGGGGGACCCCTGACCCCAGCCCCCTCCACATCCCAGGGTGGCCCCGGGCCAGAGACGGGAGAGATGCTGCAGAAAAACCTGGCTTGGGGGCTCCTCTTCCTCTTTCTCCCATCAGGGCATGAAGCCAAAAACCGGGAAGGAAATTTGGGAATGGGGGAAGCTCCCCACTGGGAAATCTTCACCCACCAAGGGGCTCAGGGAAGGAGAGGGGGAAGGAGAGGATGCTTTCCACAGCAGCCTCTGCTTGCTTTTCCCCAGCGGGAATTAATTTTCTCCTGAGCCCGGCAGTGGGTAAATTCATTGTTGTGAAACCTTGAGAGCGCGTGGGATATACAGCCGGGCAGGTAGATGGAGGAGCACGCGAGGTAAACCGGCAGCTGGATGGGTACCTGTGGGTAAGGGCTGCACGGTGGGGGAGGCATGCAGATCCCACCGGGAAACGCTCCCTGTCTCCATAAAAAGGATGCAGTTGGAGATATCCCCCTTGCACCCGGGGCCGGGCAGGTGGAGCCGGCCCGGGGACGGACACTGCACTGCATCCCGGTGTCCCCTCAGCCGTGAGCAATATCCACCGTGAGAGCTGATACCAGCCATGCTGCCTCAGCCACGGCACGGGCAGGAAAACAAAGGAAGAGAAAAAACACCTGCAACCCCCTCTAGGCTATCAACAGCAAAACCGGGCCACAGGCACAAGCCCCGGGTGGAAAATGAAGCCAGTTCTACATCTCTGGTGACAACGGGGACAAGGCACCGGGGCAGAAGGAGCTCACATCCCCCAGGCTGGGTCTGTGCCCTCCCTGTCCCCAAAGGAGACCCCCGGTGGCACCCTGCACAGGGGCAGCCCTGCACCTGCAAGGGACAGCTCAGGGACATTGGGTGGCCGTCACCACCACAGCCTCCATCCATTGGCCACCACACGGGGACCGCCCGGCTCTGCCAGCTCGCGCCGGCACCAAACCCGGCACCAAACCCGTCAGTGAAGGCAGCATGGCCCTGCCCAAACGGCAGCGGCTTCCTGCCTGGCTCAGCGCTACCCCCGATAATAAAGACGATGGTTAAATATTTCATTAATCTGCAGTAATTACGCACAAATCATCAAGCACTGGCAGCCCGCTGCCCGGCCGCCTCACCGAGAGGGAGAGGAGGCATCGTGGGGTGAGCGCTGCGCCGTGTCCCCACGGACTCCTAAAGGCTGCGGGATGAGGCCAGGGCCAGCCGCTGGCATCCGTCCCCACCACCCTAATCCCCGTAGTGCCACCCAGGAGGGCTCAAACTCCCCGGCACCGGGGCACGAGGGGTCCCTCTCCTGCTGGGGAAACTCCTGAGCAAACCCGTCTCTTCCCATTTTGCCGAGCCATTCGCCCACGCGTTTTGGGATCCCGATCTCCCCCACTGGCGCTTCACATGCCACCGTGGGGCTTGGGGAGGTCAAACCAGTTTTTCAGCTCGCAGGTGCTTTCTGCTGCCTGGATTAGAGCTTTTGGAAATGTTCAGAGCTGCCCCATCCCCATCCTTCATCCTCATCCTCCATCCCCATCTTCATTCTCATCTCCATCCTCCATATCCATCCTTCATACGTATCCCCATCCTCCATCTCCAGCCTCCATCCCCATCCTCATCCCTATTCTCCATCCTCATCCCCATCCTCCATCTCCATCCTCCTCCTCATTCCCATCCTCATCCCCATCCTCATTCCCATCCTCCATCCTCCATCCTCCATCTCCACCATCCACCTCCATCCTCATCCCTATTCTCCATCCTCATCCTCCTCCTCATCCCCCTTCCCAATCTCCATCCTTTACCTCCACCCCCACCCTCCATCCCCGGCCCCATCCTGCGCTTTGCCCCAAGCACAGGCACCAGCCCGGCACACCGGGTCTCCCCCTCCCTTCCCAGCCGTGCTGAATCGCACCCAAGGTGCGGAGGACCCGGGCACCGGTGTTGCCAGGCCGATGGAGGCCAGGACAGACAGAAGGACGGACACACCGCGCCGTGCCCCCGACACACAGCCAGGACAGGCCCTGCCAGCTTGGGGTGCAAGGGCCAGCCTCGCCATCCTGCCGGGCTTTGGGACCGCTGGTTTCCAGCCAAGCTTTGAACCGAGCTCCCTCCCTGCGGGCTGGGACCCCTGGGCGCCTGGTGGGGTGACCCCGGGACACGGCCGTCCCCGTGTCCCAGCCCCGGGGCGGTCCCGCCTTTGAAGGGAAGCCCAGGCGTTCAGGAGCTCCAGCCCGAAGGGAAAGGAGAAAATAAGGAAAATGAGCAAAAAAAGTGTTATTTCACCAAACTGCTTTTGCCCTTTTATTTTCCAGCCCAGAAACAAACCTTCCCAGCTGACTCTGCTCAAATTCCCCCGCGGGTGCCGCTCGGCTCCCTGGCCGTGCCCACAGCACCCCGGGGCGTGGGGCTGTGTTGGAGGCAGCTGTCTGTCACTCCTGCTGGCCGCCGCCGCAGGGCCCTGCCACGCCATAATGCGGAT